TTCTAATAAGAAAAAAAAACAGTTTGCATCTACATTTAAGAAGTTTTTTAAGGATTATTTAACTTTTTTAACATAAAAAATATTTATTAGATTGATTTCATTGCTCTGTATAACATCTGGCTTGTTTCTCATATACATGAATCAGTCTTTTGTAGAGATGCACGATAGATCGGCATTGGTATCGGCTGTTGTTGATGTTTTTTCGTTTTTTTTTTTTTTTTAGAATATCGTATCGGTCTGATAAGTTAAACTGGACCAATATTAACATCCGATATTGATTTCTCACTATTAGCTTTGTGTTTCTGTTTTTGCAGAGGAAATATTTGGTCGAGTGGTATCTGTTTGATCACAATAGTGATACAAGCTGCGTTTCCACTGACCATGAAAATGCGCAAATTAGAATTACGAAAATAAATTTGCTCAATGGAAACATGTCAATTTCAAAAAAAAGATTTACGTTTTTTGACAAAATATTTTTGCATTAGGATGAGGTGGTTTTTCGGCCGTATCGAAAGTGGTGTTTTTCGCAAAACTGCAATGGAAACACTTTTTTCGCATCACGGGAGTCATGTGATCAACAACCGGCTGTTTCTACTGGCAAAAAAGACGACTGCGAAGATAACAGGAAGTAGAAGTAGTAGTAATATCACAGAAGTAGTAAAAGAAAGTAGTAAACTCACTGACTAGAATTTCTCAAAAACACAGCATACGTAGCCGCTCCCAAGTAGGAGCTTGTTGCTGGAAAGTCTCGATAAAAGATTCCGACGTCTCCTCTGATGATGAGCGCTAGTGTCACGGTTGCAATATGCTATGTGTTTACATCCATTGCCACCATATTTGTAATGACTTATCGCGAGAACAAAGGTATTCACGTGAAATTTTAATAGCATTTCTTACTTAATGGAAACACCGCAGTTGCAAAACTGTGTTTTTTTTTTTTTTTTACATTAACAGAATATCGACAGTTTTGCTCATATTTGCAATGGAAACGCAGCTACAGATGCTGCACAGCCAGGAATAACTGTAGAGAGCCATGTCAGTGGTCTGGTCGTTTTTTTACGGTATCAAAAAAGAAAAGACAGAAGTGACACAAGTGTATTTGCGTGTATATTTATATAAATGATACATGTGTTTATGTAATATTGGGTTAGGCCATAACAGCAATGATAATATCGGATATTGATATCGACTGAAATTTTCACATTACTGCATCCCTACTCTTTTGACTGATATATTGGATTTTGTTTGTAATAACCATTCAAGTTCAATCATTTTATCATTTTTGCTGTATGTTTTACTGTAAAAAAATAAAACTATTTGTTTTTCTTGTGAAATGAATCTATTGAGTATTCAGAGTGATGTCTTCTATCAGATACAGGATGTTAAACATATAGGAGAGGTGAGAGGAGTCTTTAACAATGCAAAGTTTTCTTCAGTCGTCTCTCTTTAAAAGTAGTCCTCAAGAAGGTGGATGAGACCCAAATGTCTTTTTATTGTTAGTTATTTAATTAACTGAATTTAATTTGTTATTGTGATTAAAAATATCTTAGTACCTCCTCATCATGGGTTCTACAGAATAGATTTGTGTTTTCTTGCGTTTTTCTGGGTTTGTTGCTCAACATTTAAATGTGCCGCTGGCAGCTTTATGGCTGTAATGCTCAAAACAAATATTCAGATGTAAAAAATGCATTATTACATGTGAGCAGCAAAATGACTTCATTGTCATCACAGTTTTGTTAGCAGGCTTTATATCTGTTTGAATCCTGACAGTCAGGAGGGGGAGGGGGTCCACACCTCGATCACGTCCTTCACACACTCTCCATCACATGCCCTCATCATCAGCTGTTTCATTTCTATTATATTTTCTTTTTTTTCCCCAATGGTTCATTTGTTCGCTCAATTTCTAGGTCAGAGCACATGATATCTCTTCAGCAGAGAGTGTTTTTCACAAACTGCGAACAACAAAGCGTTCGGTGGCAGCTCCTGCGTGTTGCATTTGCATTAAGCTCCAGATGAGAGTGCCGGCTTGTTCTGCTGAGACTAAACAGCAGAATCAGGAGACTGTCTTTGTGTTGGAACAAATCTTTCTAATAACCTGTTTCTGTGGGTAGATAAAACACAGCTTTGACACTGTGATGATAATAATGGCTTTGAGTTTTAATGAGACTCGTATCAAAGAGCACCATTGTTATTAACACCAGAAGTCTTGTTACTCTTCCATCCAAATGGCATCATTACCCTTTTGCCCCTACCTGTTCTGAGCATTTTAGGCTAATTCATTCAAAATGAAACAAATCTTTTTTTTTTCTACTACTGCAGGGTTCTTGTCTTCAGCTCTTGCAGGTATAAGTTTTCTCCAGCTCTACCTCTCAGGCAGAATTGCCTGCATTTGAGTCATTTTCACTTAGCAGTGATTGTGCGCAGCAGGAGACACAAGACCTGTGCTTTTGTTTTAATCAGACCACCACTTGACTTCAATCACACCTGACATCAAGTGGGTTTTTATTAAAGTAAACACATGGTGTGTGAAATATTGAACATGATTTGAAAATAGATGTCACCTATTAACTTTGATCTTAAATTTGGTCTTGTGGGGTTTTAAACATTATTTTTAATTTATTGCATTTTGGCTTTTTACAACAAATAAGACCTGCACAGTGTTCATTTTATTTACCGGTAATTGGTAAAAAAAAAAAAAACAACAACAACAAAATGTCCATTTAAAAAAAAAAAAGGTAAATCAAGAAAGAAAAAAATCCTAGAAAATCTGCCACTTATTTAAAAAGAAAACAACTTAAACTTGAACAATCTCCATATTTGAGAAAATAAAAACAAAAATAACATCACTAAACAATAGCATCATACCTTCCCCAACAAATTTAACTTGGGAATTGCTGTAGACGTTTTTCTGTTGATATCAAAACTATTCCACACATACAGTACATTGCTAACCATTTAAAATGTCTCGTCATGTTCCATCTATTTATACACTGCCATAAAGTAAAAAGTCTCACTCTCACTCTTTTTATTAGTTTTTTTTTCTCGCCTGCATGTTTACTGATTCACAACCAAACAATATTATTAGTTTAATATTTTTAACTTCTCTTGAAAGTATGTCCATTTTATCTGGGTTGAAGGAAACCTTTTGGACTTTTTAAAAAGTCATATATTGTTATAATATGCCAAAGTCCACCTCCAATAAGGAAGTAAACCTAAATGGGGGAGTAATACTAACCTTATATTTGGTCAGTCATGGCTGCTCATTGGTTTACCTGAAATATAAATAAACATATATATGTATATATATTAGGGGTGCAATGATACAGGAAATTCACGGTTCGGTTCGATACTTATGTCTCACGGTTCGATATTTTTTCGATACAAAAAAGAGAAATTTCCATGCCCCTTTTAACTTGTAATTTATTTATATTAATTATGAACATTTGTTTAACCTCAAAAGTACAGTTTTTTAATTAAATGTTGCTGAAACAGCAAGTTTCTCAATGGACCTGCGCTCAAAAATGCAGCCTAGGTGGAGCAGTCGAACACAGATCCACTGATCCTTCAACACAGAGCATCTTCAGAAGACAAACAGATAAAATAAAATTTTAAAATCTGTATTGTTCGACACAGCACTGTTCGATACGGTTCGGTACGGTTCATTATGGGTACATGCATTTTTGCACCCCATATATATATATTATTATTATTTTAATTTTTTTTCCAGAAAATATTCTTGTTCATCCTTGAGGCTGTAATCCTTGTCAGCATTGATAAAACCGAACCTAATATCTTCCCATAGCCTGCTACAAACTACTGCTTAAGAGGAGCATCTTTAACTGCTTCATCTGTCCACGAGTAGCTCTGAATCCTACATCTTCTGGTTGTTTTATTTTGAGGTAAAAATGTGATATGACATTTGTAAAAGATCCCTAAAACAGCTGATGTGTTGCATAATGACGTGATTGGATATTATAATATTTTTACACGGTTTGTTATAGGTTTTCACAATTTCACATCAAGGGATTTATTTTTCTTCGTTTTTTGGCACCACTCTGGACTACACTGGGCAAAAGCTCATATTCAGACCACAGAAGATTCTCCAGCTCCAGTTTAAGATCCGTTTTCTGTGAGGATTTATCTGCTTGGCTCTATGGTCAAGGGCCCACCAAGCAAAGCTACTTAACAGCAAATCTTGTTTAGCAGAATCCTCTCAAAATAAGAGCCTCTCTATCTGCCGCTCTTTTCCTCATCCTGCTTCTTTCCCTTCCAACTGTTTCCAATGTGTGCCACCATTGACACCACTTGGCAGCCGGTCGCTGTGGTCCTAACGCCACTGTGTGGTTCCTGGCTCTTCCTCTACTGTTTTGGTTTGCAAACCCAAAGCCTCGTTACCAGCACAAGCACTGTTGGTTGGAAGATGCAGAAGTGTATTCTGACACGCAGAGCAGGTTTTAAACAGAATATTCCTCTCTGTGCACCTTGTCTTGTAATGAAAAGAGGGGTTTTATTGGTCGCGCCGTTTACTTTCCAGGCTTTCTTAGCTAATACGTAGAATCTGTACTTTCTTCACCTTTTTCAGACAAGACCTCTACAGATCGCTTTCTGGGTGAGCAAGGGTAGTTCCGACGGTAAAAACTTGCTTTCATGTGGGTGGCAGATATTATGAATGCTGACCGAGAAATCGATCAGAGGTCATTATACTACTTGGAGAAGGTGCCTCCAGAAAAATCTCTGTTTTTTATGTCATCTTCTGGGTCAAACTGTTCATCTGACCCTAACAGCCTCGGTTTTAATTCAACGAACAGTGTAGGAGTCGGCACATATGGTGCAATCAAGATGCTCATTTGTGTTTTGATGAGGATGGTTTTACTTAGTAGGTCTTAAAAGAAAAAAAAAAACGGCGGAGGAGAGTAAAAAATGGTTTTGAGAAGTGTACATAAAAATGAAATATAAATGTGCCTCCTTTTTCTCCTCCTACCTTTCTTGAACTGCTTTAGACGTTGCGAAAGAAAGGCTTTAACGGTTGCAACAGCCCCGAGCCCGATGGCGACGACTCCATCGACCAAAGTCCGCTAAATGACCGCAAGACCGAGGACCTGGACAGCCTCTTCAAACGCTATAGCGTGAGTACCGTCACACCTTTGTCACCTTATCTAACCTGCTCTTTCTGTTCTTCTTCTTCTCTTTCTCTGTCTACCCTCTTCTCTGTCTCTGTGCCTTTCCTTTTCTTCCGTTCGCGGGGAAACGAAGGCTCTGAACAAGAAAGAGCACCGTGACTCTGAGAGCCCAGACCCCGAGGAGCCCTTCTCTCTCACCCCCCGCACTGAGGAGAAATACAAAAAAATTGACGAGGAGTTTGATAAAATGATGCAGAACTATAGGCTGTCAGTGAGTACCTCCCAACATTCTGTGCAAACCTACCCCCCCVCCCCCCCTCACCCCTCCTCATGTTGCTGCTGCTGCTGACCGGACAAGTTTTCCAGCTGCTGATGGCGGTCTGATTACTCACAGAGCACTTGCATTCACCATTCCCCCACCCC